CTGCCTATAGAATTCTGTTCCGCATTCTGGGTAGAATTTGGCACCAGGCTTACTCAAGATCTTTAATGGGATTTTGGAAGGCAAAACTTTGCCTTCAGGAATGACTAAAGGTATTATTTCATTGATGTATAAGAAAGGAGAAAAGTCAAATATAAGAAATTGGAGACCAATTACATTGTTAAACGTCTCCAATAAACTTTTAGCAAAAACCCTGGCGGTCAGACTTGGCTTGTTCCTACCCAAGTTGGTAGGCCCAGAACAAGGGACTTTCGTTAAGGGTCATTCCATTTTTGACAACATATTGACGGCTACTGAAGCTTTAGAGATAACAAGCAAAACTAACATGAATATGGTAACTTGAGCCCTAGACATTGAGAAAGCCTACGATAAAGTTGGCTGGTCATTTGTAGAAGCTACACTTCAACACATGAACTTCGGGCCGCAGTTTCTCAGGTGGGTCCATGCACTACACACCCAAGCGACTGCGGCAGTCATGGTCAACGGGAAAATCTCATCTACTTTCAAGCGTACCCGCTCCCTCAAGCAAGGTTGTCCCCTTGCGCCACTCCTATTTGTTCTGCAAATAGACGTTCTACAAAATAATATTAAGTCCAGTCCAAAAATCAGGGGTTTAACCCTGAGAGACCGTCAATGCAAAGGAGGAGCACTGGCCGACGATCTCCTCACAATCTGTCCTTACTCCACAGAGGACCTAACAGAGCTACGTAATATCTTGCTAACATTCTCTGATGCATCTGAGGCATCTGTGAATTGGAATAAATCGGTGTACATCCTCCCATCAGCACATGAGCTAGCAGTCTCATGAGGTATGAAGAGTACCGGCGGACGCAGCAGAGCACTTCCTAGGCATCCAAATATCACTGGCAAAGTCAGCACACCTACAAAACGCAATCTTGATAGAGAAAGTCGCTACAAGCATGAACAGACTATTAAACACTGTCGCTTTCACTGTTTGGAAGGGCCCTAGTGATTACCATTATGTCCTTTTCACAATTGTGGTTTGTTGGAGCAGTCGGAGGCCTGGGTGCCGAAGCCTATAAAATCATCAGGCGTAATGCAGCAAGACAACTGTGGAAACCTTCAGCAGAACAGTGAGAATCCTTCATCACAAAAGTGGCATGGAAATCAGTCTTCATGCCTAGAGACGAAGGAGGGTTAGGAATCTTGGACCTTGAAAACCAGATTGCTTCCCTCCTGGTCAAATGGCTAATCAAAGCTGCACTTGACGTGGATGCCAGGGATTGGGTTCTGATGGTGGAACAGATTCTAGGTGATACCTGGAATCTGAGTCGGCCATCTGATGTGTGACTGTGTGCTACGCTCCCCTCATTTGCCAGACGAAAACCCAGCTCTGAGCTATGGACAAACATTTGGGCGGCATGGGGAAATTTTAAGCCACAGGACCTATCCAACCCCGTAACTAGAAGTGAAATTCTACGTCAACCTTTGCTCGAAAACCCGAGAATAACAGACCAAGGGGGAAATCCCTTCCTGGCCTCAAATGATAGCGGGGCCTTTGGGAGGAAATGGATAGAGAGAGGGGTCCTGCGGGTGGCGGACCTCTGGGATGACCAATCCCTGGACTGGTTCAGTGAACAGGACCTAAGGGTTAAGCTAGGAAGACTTACCCTGGTGGAGCAGCGCAGAAATCTTCTGATTAAAGCCCTCCCAGATGAATGGAAAGATATAATTTTCAGGAGGAAAACAAACCCTCTTGGCCGGTGGTACAAACCGGAAAGAGAGTTGGCACACAATGTCCTCTGGAAAGTAAAAGAAGGAGACACAAGGCTGGTCCACAAAGTGGAAGAATGGGAAATGGTAGCAGTAATTGGCCAGGACAAACTTCGATTCCTGAAATTCAAGGACAGCGTTGAATGGCCAGTGAACTGGACAGCAACGGAGGTACGAGTTGTTGAAACGGTCCAAGCCGGAAGAGTCACATTAGTCACCAATTCACGACTTACCCCGGTCATGGACTTAAGACTAAACCCGGTGAGCATAAGTTACACTCGATCAGTACACAGCAAAAACAGGTCTCAGACTAACTCAAGCCAGAAAGTACACTACACCGACAGAGTTGGCGCTACAACGTCTCAAAACTACAACTGCTCCGAGACAACCTGTCAAAATCTCCTGATACTGGTCACAATTGCGCCTATTACCTTCTCAGAAACAAGCTAGTCTACTATGGCTACAGATGTTGCAAGTAGTACCCTCTGCAGTCTGGCTGTTGAAGAAACAGGTAACTATCCAATCCAAGTGTACCCACTGTAACTGGGCGTGGGAATCTACTGATCATTTGTGGATCACATGCCCCCTCTCCGCCAGCATTTTGGGCTGGTGGCAAGCCAACTGGAAAAATATTGCAGACACGAAGTTCAAATGGAACGAGGAATGGATTCTCCTTGGGATACTCCCAGCAGATCACGGAACCTCTTATGAGCTGGGCTATATTGCTCAAGGTCATTAGAGCCATCATCTACTGGGAGATATGGCTAAGCAGGAACGCAGCAGTATTTAGGGGAGAGAAACCAGCTTTTCTGGCCCTGAAAGCTGCTATCCGATTGAGCATACGCAGAACCATTTGGGAGGATTGGCACCGGAAAGTTCTCCAAGGGACATCGAGTGACAAAGGCAAATTATGGTTCATGAAGACGTGGTGTACCAACAATTCCTCGCGAGCATCAACGATCAAAATTGGCAACATGGCTTTGGCCCAAGCCCCAGGTCACTCCACCACAAGTGGTTCTAATTCCAGCCTTGTGCTGTAAGTCGTTCAGGCAGCGTCACATGAGAGGGTTGGAAGTAGCTGGAAAATTGCAGATGGTAATTTCTTAAAGGGACGCTGGACCCGGTTTCCAGCAAACAGACAGAACAGAGGTTCAAGTTAGAACGGGTAGAATTGTGGGGTCTCCGGCCTCGAAACATTTCTTAAAATGGTGCAAATGTGTTAAGAAAGATTTTTTTGGTTGAAAAAAAATAGGACTAAAAAAAAACTGAAAAACAAACGACCAGCCTTGGGAATTTCCTCATCTCCTTCTCCTAAAACTTCGGACGCCGGGGGCTATCAGACCGTAATGGCTGGCGGCGCTGGCCGAGGAAAAAAAGTGTGTGGCTTGCGGTTCTGCAAAACAAAACTTGGTGCAAAGTGAGGCGTGCCAGGCCCTGGTGTACTGGTGGTGTCTGTGCAAGGACATGCTCTATCCCATGGGAGTATGCCCGAGCTAATGAGACTATGGATTGGGCATACTCCCACTGCATACAACGTTTTGAGATTCCAAACGCTTTTGTGCAATGAGCTCATTGGTCCGGCCACTCGCCTATTTATGGAGTGTGCGAAGTCCTCCATGCCACTGCTCTCTTTCCTTTCTCAGCAAGGTGGTTCACACACTGAAACAACGTTTTTGTTTTTTTTGTTTTTCAAGACCTATTTAAATTTACTACTATGGGGGAAAACATGTCCCCCCACCTGTCACACTCCTCACACAATATAGGATCGGGCCACACCCTCATCCTCATGGTACCGTGTTCACCCGAATAGAACGCCCGGTTATTAGCTGCATTTGGTGCGACTTTCAGTCTGGCTGCATCTAGACTGAAAGTCGCACCAAATGCAGCTGTAATGACAGGGCGTTCTATTCGGGGGAAACACTGACCGGGCGTTCTATTCTGGCAAAGACGGGACCACCACCCCTGAAGTCTTGCCTCATCCCCTTCTCTCTTATTTGAATCCTAGATTGAAAGGAATGTTCCTCCACTGGTGTCAGGTGCAGGGATGGATACTAGACGGAGGGGAGGGGCGAGGAGGGGAGAGGGAGAGGCAGAGGGCAGAGGGAGACAGGGGAGGAGGGCGAGGGAAAGCAAAGGAGTATGCTGCATCTGATATGCTCAGTCAGAAAGGAGGATGCTCGACGGCCATTTTGTGGTAGCGTCCAGGAAGCAGAGGACGGTCCGCTGAATCTGGCCATTCTTCGGAAGACCGGCCAGTCGGAAGTTTTGAATTGCGGTCCCTCGGACCGAAGTGCCTGAGCAGAGCGAGCTCCGTCGCTCGAGCAGATCCCCTTCAGTCCGCAGCCACCTTCTTTCCCCGAATAGAACGCACATGGTCATTATCGCTGTATGCAGACTGAAGGTTGCCACAAATGCAGCTAAAATGACCATGTGCGTTCTATTCGGGGGAAGACGGTAGTTATTGCAAATCAGCAGTTACAGGGACAATGCAAGCCCGCGAAGAGGACTGGATTGGAGGGAAAGAAACGGGAAATGAATGGAGCCGACAACGGCGAACAAGCAGGGGGGAGTGAAGCAAACGCGGGAAGAAAATGGACCAATCAACATGAAGACAAGGAAGCGAAGATGGGAAGAGAGTCGCAGCCATCACACGCACAGGCTTTGGAAACGAGGCAGCCTAGAGCAGTGATGGTGGGTCATCGGCAAATGTACTGCCGCCGGGAGAGGGGAAGGGAGCAAGTCAAAGGAACAGTCTGCTGCACTGTTTCACACGATCAGGAGGTATAGGGAGCGAGGCGTTGAGCGAAAAGCAAAAGCCGGCGGTGGAAGGAAGCAAAGAGAGGGTGAGGACATGTCTGGAACACAGAGAGAGAGACAGGCAAAGACAGGGAAGGGAGGA